GAGAGAGAGAGAGAGAGAATCCCAAGCAGGCTCCGTGCTCAGCGAAGAGCCTGACATCGGGCTCCATCCCTGGGATTATGACTTGAGCCGAAACCAAGAATCTGACGTGTAACCGTGTCACCAACTGCGCCACCCAGGCCCCCGGGAGTCATCCTTTAAATTCTGAAGATAGTATAAACTCACTAGGGGAGTGAATTTAGATGAGAGGAGAAGAGGTCTGAAGTCTGAGTTCTGGAGTCCCCCCACTTTCTAGGCTGAGGAGGCAACACTGAGGGAGTCTGAGGGGGAAGGTAAGTTAGGGTGAGTGTGGGGTCAGCCGGAAGTCAGCCAGTTGTGTACCAAGGAGGGAGTAATTAAGTGAGTCAAATTCTACTGACAGGTAGGACTGAGAACTGCCTGAAAATTATTTCTAATTGCACAAAACAAACCCCCTATGAAATAGGTTATTTTTTATTTTCAATGTATAGTTGAAAAAATCTGGAGATGGTTTTGCCCCCAGATCCCATAGCTACTCAGGAACAGAATTAGTGATTCACAATGCTAGATGAAGTTTACATAATGCTTTCTGTCCGAGGAAACGTCTGTGAGTAGAATTCAACTTATCCAGGACAAGAACATCAGGGGAAAAAGAAAGAGAAGGTCTCAACTAAAGTAGGGTTATGGACCCTACAGAGGAGGCAGAAGTCAGAAAATACAAGGCCATGTTGTTGTTGTTGTTTTTTAAATGTTTGTTTATTTTTGAGAGAATGACAGAGCGAGAGTGAGGGAGGGGCAGAGAGAGAGGGAGACACAGAATCCGAAGCGGGCTCCAGGCTCTGAGCTATCAGCACAGAGCCTGTTGCGGGGTTGAACTCGTGAACTGTGAGATCATGACCTGAGTCGAAGTTGAACGCTAACCGACTGAGCCACCCAGGTGGCCCAAGCCCATATTTTTTTTTAAAACACTTTGCAAAAGCAACAGAAGAAGGAGCCTTGGAAAATTAAATCAATGAGAATATTTGGGAAAGCTCTGAGAAAGAAGAAAATGAGGCCAGCCCTACCAGTCATTAAAACATAAAAGACTTGGGGTTCCTGGGTGGCCCAGTCGGTTAAGCGGTTGACTCGGGCTTAGGTCATGATCTCAGGGTTTGTGGGTTCGAGCACCATATTAGGCTCTGTGCTGACAGCTCGGAGCCTGGAGCCTGCTTCGGATTCTGTGTCTCCCTCTCTCTCTCTGCCCTCCCCCACTCATACTCCATCTCTCTCTCAAAAGTAAATAAACATTTAAAACAGTTTTAAAAAAACATTATAAGCTTGTACAATAAGATTATGGTATTGGGACATGAATACATAGATCAATGAAACAGAGTAGAAAATCCAAAAATAATTGCATCTGGAAATTGAATATGTGATAAAGCTGGCATCTGAAATCAATGGAGGAAAAAGTCCTTCTTTGTAAATAGTATTGGGGTAAATAGCCAGATAGTCATATCCGTTTCTCTACACAAGATGAATTCCGGATGGGTCAAAGATTTAAAAACTTTTTAAAGAAACAAAGCTGTATAATTACGAGAAGGAAGTAAGACCGGATTCCTCCACAATTAAGGAATTGGGGAAACTCCCTGAACTCAAAATCCGGAGGCAATTAAGGAAAAGACTGAAATTTGGACTATACAAAACAACAGTGACAGTAAAATTTTTGCGTTAGCGAAACACATCATAAGCAAAATAAAAAGACAAGTTAAAAACTGCGATAGGTATTTCCGACTTACAAAGGGTTAATGTTGTCTGATTGTGTTCTGGAGAGCAAGGAGGACTCCTGGTTCAGTCTTTGCCAATTGCCATGGTGTAAACCCTCCCACCACAGTAGATTTTAAGTTGCCAAAATGCGCTCACCTGCACCCATGTGACATCAGCTGGGTCACAAAATTCCTGACGATTTAACAATCGGTGCTTGTAGGCGGGCTCTCAGCACATCACCATCAGTATCCTTCATAAATATACGAAGGGCTTCATCACTTGGAGAAGAAAAGGAAAACCATCACCTTGTGGAAAATAGACAGGAGATATACACACGCAATTCACACACACACAATAATGAAAATAAAGGACCTTTAAATATGTGAAAAGATGTACAGTCACACTTAAAGGAAATGCAAATGAAAACTGCACAAAGATACTATTCCCCAACTCTCAGATTGGCAGAAATCTAAAAGTTTAGACGGCAAAGCGTGTTGACAAAGCAGTCAGGGAACACTTTAATTTTTTGCTGGTGGGAACGCAAAAATGGTATAATCCAGGGGGAGGGGAATTTGGCACTTTCTAGTAAAATTGCATATATATTAACCTGTCGATCCAAATATCCCACTTTTAGGCCTCAAGCCTAAAGATCCACTGACAAAAATACAAAAAGATACATAAGGTTACTCAGTGACCACTGTTTGCAAAACCAAAAAAGTGGAAACAACTTCAGCGATCATCCATCACAGAATGCTTTCATAAACTAGGACCCGTTCACATACTAGAATCAGTACATAGCTCTAAAAACAAGTAAGAAATACCTCTATGTACTGCTATGACATGATATCCAGTGGAAAAAAGCAGGATTGCCAAACTAAGGTAATACACTACCATTTAACTAAAAGGGGAAGAGGAGATGAATATCCCGTATTTTAAGATTTCATCTTTTAGTAATCTCTACACCCAACAAACGTGGGACTCGAATTTACAACGTTGAGATTAAGAATTGTATGCTCCACTGACTGAGCCAGGCAGGCGCCCCTACCTTATATATTTTTTAAAAATACATAAGGGGTCCCTGGCTGGCTTAGTCAGTACAGCATGCAACTCAGGGTCATGAGTTCGAGCCCCACCTTGGGCACAGAGATTACTTAAAAAAAAAAAATTGCTACTGCTCTTGTTTTATCTTTTTTTAATGTTTATTTATTTTTTGAGAGAGAGATACAGTGCGAGCAGGGGAGGGGCAGAGACACACACACACACACACACACACACACACACACACACACACAATCCAAAGCAGGCTCCAGGCTCCGAGCTGTTGGCACAGAGCCTGATGCGGGGCTCGAACTCACGAACTGTGAGATCATGACCTGAGCTGAAGTCAGCCACTTAACCAACTGAGCCACCCAGGCACCCGCTACTGCTCTTTGAATAATTTGTAGAAATATGAGTAGCTTCCTTTGCTCTGAGGTAACCCATGTTCTGAAGTTTTCTCCTGGAATTTTCTATACTGTCTCACATATCTAACTCTGGAGTTCCTTCCAGGTGACAAATACCATAACCTTGCTGGAGGGACATACTTCCCAGCCTATTTTCTCCTAGCCAGAGGCATCTCCTGTCCTTTGAGACAAAACTACTCCCGTCACAGCACTGACTTCCCTTCAGAAACAAGACACTGTGTTATTCTCCTAATAATCCCCCTTCACTGCTGGAGCCGTGGTCCATCCAGAGTATGTCTGTCCCAGGACCGAGGGATAAGGTAATCATACACCCATGAGGGTCATTCTTCTCGAAATTCAAGTTTCCTGGATCACAGGATTTGTAGTTGCAAGTAGCTAAGTTCGACTCTCACAGGTTGGGGGACCTCAAACAAAATAATTAGCTTCTCTTCGCTTCAGTCCCCTCATTTTTGAAACAGGGGAAAGGTAACACCAATCTTTTGGGGTCGTTGTGAGATTTGAATAAGATTATGTAAAATGTCAGGCATAAGCTTGGTGCTTCCCTCCTGTCTCCTCCCTCTGCTTCCCTTCTCTTATTTCCCACCTTCTTTTTATTCAGTCTTCTCTCCACATCCTTCTTTCATAAAATGAACAAGACTAAGAGACTTTGAAGATTCTTTTCAAACCCTGAGATCAGAAACACTGACGGGGTGCAGTGCATTTAGATGGGGGCTTGGCTGTTGAGGATTAGAAATCCAAAAATGCGCATAGTAGAAATGAGTTAGAGGCTGGTAGTGACTTCATGCAGAAGTTTAAGATCTAATACAAGGGAAAGGGTTCCTGGATGGAACTATTTTAGGGTCTCAGTAATATTAGAAATTCTGAAGAGTTAAGAGCGCCAGGGTGGCTCAGTCGGTTAAGTGTCTGACTTCAAGTCATGAACCTGTGGTTTGTGGGTTTGAACCCCACATGGGGCTCTGTGCTGACAGCTCAGAGCCTGGAGCCTGCTTCTGATACTGTGTCTCTCTCTCTCTCTGCCCCTTCCCCACTCATGCTCTGTCTCTCTCTGTCTCTCAAAAATGAATAAGTGTTAAAAAATATTTAAAAAGAAAAGAAAGTCTGAAGATTTGTCCAAATGAGGGGAGGAAATAGAGAAGTGAGTGAAGGAGGTAGGGAAAAAGAAAAATTGGAAAGTAAGAAGGTTAAAATAAAGACAGATCACACAAGTGTTGGTGAAGATGTGGAGGAATTGGGATTCTCATGCACTTCCAGCGGAAATGTAAAATGGTGCAGTAATTTGATAACAATCCGGTGATTTCTCAATGAAACATAGTGTTACCATATAACCCAGTTCCACTGCTAGGTGTATACCCAAGGGAACTGAAAACTTAGGTCTACACAAAAACTTGTACGTGAGTGTTTATAGCAACATCGTTCATAATACCCAAAAGGTGGAAACAACTCAAACCTCCTTCGACAGATGAATAGATAAACAGAATGTAGTATATTCATACAATGGAATTTCACTTTCCCAAAGAAGACATACAGATGGTCAACAGGTACATGAAATGATGCTCAACATCATTAATCGTCAGGGGAGTGCAAATCAAAACCATGGTGAGATACCACCCATACCTGTTAAAATGGCTATAACGTGAATGGCTAAAGACCAGAAATAGTAAATGTTGGTGGGGATGTGGAGAAAAGGGAACCCTCGTGCCTCACTGGTGGGAATGTAAATTGGCTCAGCCACTCTGAAAACCACTATGGAGTTTTCTCAAAATATTAAAAATAGAACTACCATACAATCCAGCAACTCCACATTTGGGTATTGGTCAGAAGAAAACGAAAACCCTAATTCGAGAGGATACGTGGACCTTCATGTTCATTGCAGCATTAGTTACAATAGCCAGGATATGGAAACAACCTAATTGTCCATCGATGGATGAATGGGTAAGGAAATTGTGGTGTATGCAATGGAATGTGGTATATACCAAGAAATGTGACTTAGCCATCAAAAAGAATAAATCCTGGGGCGCCTGGGTGGCTCAGTCGGTTGAGCGTCCGACTTCAGCTCGGGTCATGATCTGACAGTCTGTGAGTTCAAGCCCCGTGTCGGGCTCTGTGCTGCCAGCTTAGAGCCCGGAGTCTGTTTCAGATTCTGTGTCTCCCTCTCTCTCTGCCCCTCCCCCGTTCATGCTCTGTCTCTCTCTGTCTCAAAAATAAATGTTAAAAAAAAAAAAAGAATAAATCCTTGCCATTTACTGCAACACTGATGGACTTTGAGGGCATTATGCTAAGTGAAATAAGTCAGAGAGAGACAAATACCATGCTTCTCTTTCTATGTGGAAGAGAACAACAACATCAACAACAAGCCAAGCTCCTAGACACAGAGTACAGACTGCTGATAGCTGCCAGAGGCAAGGGTGGAGAGTGGGAGAAATGAGAGAAAGGGGTCAAAAGGTTAAAAAGAAGAAGAAAAGGGAAAAGAGAGAGAGAGAGAAATTTGCCTTCCTGATTAACAAACAAAACTCCCAAAACAAAAAATACCCTTCAAAGTGGGATACACTGGTTAAGTCAAGTGTGGTCCATCTGTATGATGAAATGCCACCTAATGGCATTCAGAAGGAAGGAGGAAGAAAACAGAATGAGGAAGCCTTTTTATACTGATAACTAAAGTTTTCCAAGATGTAAACAAAGTTAATTAATTTAA